GGCGCGGGGCGCGGGCGCCCACCTTAACCCCCGCCGCGCCGGGCCCAGGCAGTGCACCCGCCCAGGCCAGGAGTTTAACTGTTTCTCCCCTTAAGATCGGGCACTTCCAAATTGGGAAGAAAGACAAAGTTACCGTGCAGTCTTAATAAGCTGGAGACATGCGACATCTTAATAAGGGGTCACAAACTCATTAACTGGAAAGGAAGACCCTGCAGCATGCATACATGCACCTTTAAAATGATCAAATTGATGCCGTTGGCATTTAGAGTAAATTTAGAGTGTTGGGAGGATGTTTTAGAAGAATCTCATTTTTATTCAATCGTACAACACAGGATGTCTTAGAAGAAACTCATTTTTATTCAATCCTACAACACCCGCCTCACCAGCCCCCCCCCCACAAAGCTACTTAAAACCCCAGAGACTCAACACTACCATTCCAAAGGTCTTCCATCTGTAAACCAAATGCAGAATTACAGAAGACTTTAGTGTGGGAAACTGGCAAAATCAGAATGTTCGTCAAGTTCAGACGTGGATTTACATCCTTTATTCTTGTTTTGTCGACATTAAAAGATGCTAGGCCTGAAAAGCACTCACTTGAGCAGATGAGTATGAGCACCTACTTTATTTATACAGCAGACTCCCAGGTTTCCTGGGCTTCACTCTCCACAGCTGACTTCATCTCTAAGAAGTGTGTTTTTCAAATCCTTGAAACCCAGGGAGAGACTAGATTTACTTCAGTTCCTGTCACTTCTCCCCCCAGCTGCTGCTGGTTTCTCTGTGCCTGTTATTTCTCCCTTGACTAAGGTTCTGATGGAACACAGGTACCTTTCCTTTCCAGGGCCCTATGCGAGGCAGGCACACAGCACAGTCTAACAGGTCCAGTGGAAATGATAACGCATATGTGCTTTTCCCAGGGGTTCCTAGAGCTGGCCCCTAGCATCCACCCACATTTTCCCTGTGGATAGAGAAGAAGCAACAGTGGCTTTGTTTTTTTCCCCTAGTCTTTCTATCAAATCCAACCAGGGAGCTATTTTTTGTAACAACGGTTAAATAACAGAAAAACTTTCTGCCACAGAGTCATCCAGCCCCATAGAGTCTGAACCACTATAACAGAATCATTATAACAATGATGGCCCTGGTGCCATAAAAGTCTGTGCATCTTTTGAGTAGTATCAACCACTTACTTCTAGATAGCACATTAGAGACGACCCAAGCGAATCACCCATCATGTCTCCCTCACACAACTACTTTATAGAGGTAGGGTAGAAGTTGGTTTTGGAGGTGTGGAAGCCAAACTCCAGGGTAAAAAGAAAGACTGAGAAGACTTGCCTTTCTATTTTAATAGTTGACAAGAAAGTGCTCAGCCATATAAAGTGGAGCAACTTTACACTGATGATCTCAACACACTTTGCATTAACTCATAATTAGGCCAATTGTTCCCTCACCTCCTCCGGTGACTTTTCCTGATATTAAATTCTCAGGGAAAACCATCTGCTACTTTTGACCACTAGGGATCATTTGATATATAACACCAAAAATATCAATTGTCAACTTATGGCTGCAACAAATGACTTTGCTATCAGGGATAGGGATAAAAAATTATATTTATGGAAGGCAGAAGAGCTTTGTTTATGTTTTTGAGAGGAAAGGAGGAAAATTAGCCTATTTTAATACCAGTCCACTTTTGGAAAATTCTATTTTGTCTCCACTTTCCAATGGGAAATTGTGGAAATAGGAAATTGAATGATTTGTTAAAATTAAGTATGAAAACAGGTGTAAGGTATGAGTTGATGTTTGCTGACTTTCAGTGTGCTGGATTTAAGATTCTTCCGCAGAAGCCAAGGAATCACCTCTAATAATTTATTGATTCAACTGTCTTGATACTTCCCCTTCCCCCAACACATCCATACCACATTGAGTAGAAACAAAAGCTAGTCCATGGGAAGGGATAGCGACTCATTCTAGGCTTTGGAGTCATTTCCCTAGAGGCCTGAGAATGGCAGGGATGATTCCTTTCATGATAAATTCTAATCCTGGTTCTTGCATCTAATTTCCAGGTAGGTACAAATAAGCATTAGTTTTTGCATCCAGGAATGTGGATAATGACAACAGCAGGCCTTCCCCAGGGGCCTACAGACATGATTAACTCTACAAGAAAATACTTAGAAATCCATTTAAGGTGGAAGATGCTTTATTAATACATCCTTCCTGTCATTGCTTCATTATTATGGCTGGGCAGAAAAATAACAATTCTTACAGACTCTTTAAGAGTTTCAGTTTGTACCTGTCTACAAGCAGTTGATCTAAGAGAGTCAAACCACCTTTGTCTCTGACAGTGAAGGGAGAGTACCAGCTTAGCATCTCACCATTGTCAATGGAAAACCCAGTAGAGTTCAGGGAGGTTTCAGGGTGGACAAAGAAAAGCCACTTGCAACCTCATACCTGCTTTGTGAGCCCAAAGATTCGAACTTTACTCAAAAATAGAAGTTTAGAAAGTGGTAAAAGGTCAGAGATGCCCTCATAATTAACAAGACAGAATCTACTTTATTCAAATCTTTCATTGAAGTGGTTTGAAAAGATGAAGATCAAAATCATATGTCAACTCCCTTCCTATCCCTTAATCCCTAAATATAACCAACACTTAGTGGCTTATCTTATATCCTGTTTCTTGCTTCATAAAAACTGCTGGATTTATTTTATTTTTCCCAGCATATGCAAGTTAATGAAAAAGGGATGACAGTCAGAGCAATTTCATTATTTGTGTTCTTTACAGAAACAACTTCCTTTCTGCCTCCTTGAAAGCAGATTCCTAACGAGCGCCCACCTCCACCCTCTTCCCTCCAACTCCCTCTCCTTCCTTCTTGCATACACATATACTGTACACATAAATCAACTTGTCACAGCTTGTCTCTGGGCTGACAGCTGTAATTGCTTCAGGTTATAAAAATATCTATAGGACAATGCCTTTCAAGCTCACAGACACGCACACACATACACACACGCATACACACTCTCTAAGCAAAAGGAAACAATCATATTCCATTTAATAATCCTGGGACTGCGAAGGGGGTGGAGAGAAGCTTGCCATGGGGACTCTGGAGGGCTGATAGGCAGGCGAGGAGATGGTAGATGGAGACTTCAGGCAGCCTTGGCATCTGTACACCGGAGCAGGATTGGGACATGGAAGAATTCCCAATGAAAGAGAAATTAGCAGTGGTTTTTGTTTTACTCTGTGTTACCTACAGCAAGCTGGGGCTAGCTAAATTACTGTCACTATTCCATACACACAAGAGACCAAAAGAGGAGCACCAGCTTAACAAATGCCAGTTCTGCTTCTCCTTTTCTAAAAAGGCTAAAGGCCCCCCTCTCCTGGTGGAGATCTCAAATAGGAGCATAGGCAAAGAGCTGAGAACGGCAGGTAGACAGTGGCGTGAGGCCAAACAGACACTAGAAGGTTTCATCAGAAAAGACAGCGTAAATCTGGATAAAGTGGCTCCTTGAAGGGAGTAGGGAATGACCAGGGTCTGGAAAGATGTATGCTATTTTTTGCTCCTCCAGGAATATAGGATCAAAATAAAATCCCTGTTCAGCTGGGTTTTAGTCCAGCATGTTAGGATTTCAGCAGGAAGAGCAAAAGGGCAACTTGAAAGGGGGAGAGGGCTCCAGGGGTCACGAATAAAGAGAATTGAGAGGGAGGATATGAAGGAATGGCAGAGGTGAGGCTGTCTGTGGACTTTGAAACCCATAAAACTTTATAAGAGATGCAGAAAGTGGAGAGAAGGTCGATAGAACAATTGAAGGTAGACAGAAAAGTCAGAAGGAGCAGGATGAATGAGTCAAAATCAAAGTGCCAGTGAAGCAAAAGGCAGGGACCTAGAGGGGACAACCTAAGAGTCAGGGGTCTTGTGGGCAGAATCCTTCCTTTTTATTTAGGTTTTGGGTCATCATAAGACTCTGGGATCACAGAATCACAGAATGATACATTCAGAAGGAACCATGGAATATCTTTAGTATAACCCATTCATTTCCTAAGTAAAGGACTGAGCCCCAGGAGGGAGGAGTAATTATCACAGGGGCATTAAGTGAATAACTGGCAAATCAGAACTAGAACTCAGAACTCCTGACTTCTGATTCCAGGGTTCTTTCTACTATACCTACTATACCTGTCAGGTAAGGATGAGATGTAAGAGCTGAATAATAATATATCATCTTCGTCTGCTTCCTCTGTGGACAAGAGAACCACAGAGGGCTTGATACTATTATTGCCCAGTGTACCTCTGGGTCTCCACTTATTCAGTTGAATTCAATTTATTTAATAAGCCAGCAAGTAGATCTTGAGCTCCTCATGTGCACTAGGAACTGTGTTAGAGCTAGAAAGACAAAGAGGAAGGACACGGCCCTGCCCTCATGTTGCTTATAATCTAGGACTATTGGGTTTGTCATGGCTTTATTTATATTAGCATTCATGAATGGTGAGGCTATCATGAATTCTGCTCTGCACTTCCCATAAGCCTGTGAGAACCTTCTCATTGCTGAGAAAAATAAGCTGGGGTCTGTCTAGCCCTTGGGAAGAATTTTGTCCCATTATGCTTGTCCAAATTCTCAGGCGTGGCCCTAGTTTTCTAGCTGCATTTAAAAGAGTAGTAGTTGAGAAGAGCTACTCTCAAGGATTTC